GTGTATGGATGATAAATTCTGTTTGAGCAAATAATAAGTTGTCTGTGTGACCACTAAGATAAAATCAATAGTAAAGATAAAAGTGAAACATAGACATTTCATCTTGTCTGAACATTTCTAATCACCCTTTGCTGAGTCACGGTACAACCACAATGTCTAACAACCAGACTGCACTTCAGAAAAAAACCCATCCTGCAGCTATTTCACTGCTCAATGCACACAAGTTAAGTAAACAGTTATCATACAGAGAGCACTGTGGTCTGGGTGGAAAATACATATAATGACTTGTTCATTGAATGCACTGAGGAGAGTCATCCACCAAGCTGAGAAACGAATGATTCCATTAGATAAGGGATAAAAGCTTTGTCATGTTATTTTTTCACCACTGTAGATTTTACTTATACTTTACTTTATTACATCAAGTAGCATACTGTATATTCTTATTGTCTGTTTGTTGAATATCTCATAGTCTCTTTCCCTGGTGAGGCCTTAATCTCCTTTTATAGCTGCATCTCACAAACACAATCTTATTTAGAGCAATTCATACCAAGTTTGACTCTGGAATAAGCTTAAATTCCTTAATCAACAGCATTTTAAAGAGGCTATTTTTAAGTTTTCTCTGCCGCTGAACGTGGTTTCTTGCAAGGAGTGAGTGGTGGTGACTGTGGCTTGTCAAGAGCTTCAGCCACCGTTGTCTTTATAATATAAGAGGTCATAATATGCCCTCAGACACTATGGGAAAGTGACGAGACGGGGTGATACGGGCCAGGGCTAACTGGTGAGCATGCTAACCTTAGTAGAAAACCATTGACGTTGCATTCCACTGCTGGAGACAGCTCTGTGAGTAAAGGAATGAAGTTTGATGCTGAATTCGCAACGTTTCCTCTAGACTGCTAAGTAAACAGCTGTCAATGCTAACGTTAGCTATATAGTGATGGCAAAACTTACAAATTGCTCCTTAAAACTGCATGTTCTACAAAAATACTGGGTTGAAGTAGTAGGCCTGAGGTGACTACTGTAAAAATAAAGATACTTATTCTGCATGTGAGAGACAAGCCCAGGTAATAATGAGCTGCTGAGGAGTAAGTACTCCACTACTCCTAGAGCAAAAGGTGCTGTTTGTTTTTCCAATCACTGGTTCAAAGTACCAACTGTACATTGTAGACCTACATGAAACTAAAACACCTTGTACATTTATCAATAATAATAATCATGAAAACCTTAGTGAGCACAATGACATTGCCTTTCTTTTCATCAGTGATTAAGAATCACTTACTCACTTATTGTAACTCTCATGAGACCACTCAGTACAGCATTACAATCAGATCACTCATGAGCCAACACCATTGATGGATGCACACAACTCACTTTACAAAAGCCTCAAATAAAATCGCGGATATAAATGGGTTATCTATAAACTCTGTCGAAAGAGAGAGAGAGAGGGAGAGAGAGAGAGGGAGGCATTCAACAACCTGATCCCAATCACTGCCCAAGGCTACCAGCTGCTGTGTTGCAAGTGTTGAAAATAATGAGTGAAACAAATGTGTATGAGAAAGCTCAGACAGAAATTGACATAAGCCACAATCCTGTAATCCTGCTGTTTACATGTCACTACGCAACACCAGACTACGATAAGTGATAAAGTTAGTAGCATACAGTATATTCACAATACTGCAGACACAATGTGTTGGAGCTGTGAGTGAGGGAGGTGTGTTTTCCTTGAGACACATTGAGTGCAGTTAGAAAGTAGGGAAGTGTCCTCCACAACAAGACATTTTTATAAGTCATTTAAAAAATGGCAACCACTGCCTCAATAGGAAATGATGAACAGGATGCACACACAGATGTGTGTGTTTTCAGACCCAGATGTGATAAAAACACCTGTCACTGCTTTTCTCTCTGGATGTCATCATCAAAGTAACCTTAATAAATCAAGTCATACCTGTATTGAATCCATTTGAATTGGCTCGTATGCTTCTTAGGTCAGAATAGTGTACCACATTTAGCTGCCTGTTCTAACTGGTAAATCCAGAGTACCTGAAAAATACAATGAAGGTGACCCTGCACTGAGACATGGAGCTCACAACGTGCAACATGCCCCTCTTGACAGGCTCATCTGTCATTTAATGCTGTGAGCTAGATCCTCTGCTACCACTGCGTAGGCTACTGCATCATTTCTTGACCCGAGGTTCAGAAAACTTGACTTCCTCGCAGCTGAGGTGAGAGTCAAGTGGCAAAAGTGGACACACATACACAAGAACATGAAGACAAGTCAGCACAGAAAATATAAAAGCAGAGGAGGTGCTGGATATACAGTCATAACCCTGCACACAGGAGACAACACCACTGAGTGTGAAATAGCCGCTTCCTCTGCAGAGCCAGCTTCCGATGTACAAATGACTCGACAGTCGAGTCAGTCAGCCAAATGTGTCAATAATAATCTACTAATTTGTTAAATAGAGAATGCAGATTTGTTTGCAAGGCTAGCTCACCTGACATAAATGCTTGTACATTCTGGACAGCGGCCACATCTGTCACTTCTGGAAGGATTTATCAGGAAAAAAAGACTGAAACTCATTTGAGATTCTCATGCCTGCTAACGTTCTGTTTGGGCACAGAATATTTTTAATTGAGTGCTATAACATTACAGCATTACAGTTTCCCAACACGTACAAAGAGGTTTTGGTTTCAGGGCAGGGCTGGATGATATCACCCCCTATAACAACAAATTGTCACATTAATTGTGACGATGATACATTTAATGAAAGCACATCATTTATTTTCTCGTGCTGACTCACTTTTATGTTTGTCCTTCTTAATTAGAGCATGACTAGGCATCTGGCCTGGAGTGAGGACTCACTGGCTGATTAGATGTCTGGTTAAAAGTCACTGGTTGTTCTTGGGATTTTCAGTTTACTTATTCCAGAACTGACAATGTATTTGTTAAAAATGATATAATATAGTGTATATAACACATGACATGAATGATATGGTATTAGATCTCTAGATTAGATCTTTTAAAGGAGAAAGATTCGTAATTGGTCAATTTCCCAGCCTTAAAACAACTGCATCCATGTTTCAAATTGCACAGTTTTATATAGCAAATGTTTTCACTGCAATTACTAAATATTTAAACTAGGAGGATACTGTGTAAACCTGCTTCACATCCAGTTTGCTGCAGCAAGAACATAGATGCTGTCTTCAAGGGATATAACAAGGAAGTGTTTGAGCTATTCTTGGCCAAATTGAGTAGCCAGAAAAGTCTGATCCAGAATTCAGAAATTCAGCTGGGTTGTCCTGCATCTCTTGCATTTCATTTAAAATAACACTTTGATTTTTGCACATCATAGCTCCATGAAAATAAACACAAAAACTGTCATTTTCATGTAACACAGCCTTGGCAGTCCACACAGGGTACAGTTTTTTGCACTCTGTAATCTGAGCTGACAGTCGGTCAACTCATGAATTATTCAACCTGAAGTACACAGGCAACCAATACAGATTGCTTTCTTGTTAACTGAATGGGCTTGCACTACTCAGACTGTCAATAACACAAGGATAGAGGCACTCAGCTGCGGTGCTGGATATAATGTGGAACTTGAAAAGTTGTCAAACCTCTACATAGAGTACACAGCTGCAGCACAGGATGGAGTAAAAGAGAGAAATAGGTGACAAGAGGCTGACAGTTGAGTTTAAGATGATTATTTTCTTTACTTTCTATGTGTGACATTCAAATTAAGTTTAGGTTTGTATGATACCAAAACAATTTTACAAATTTTACAGCCAGTATGATACAAAATACATCTACTAGTATAAAAATTAATGGAAGAAAAAGAAGAAAAAAAGTGTTGACTTTCACCAGCAGCTATATTCTTTTTCTTCCAACAAATCCAACGAAAGGGCCAAAACGAAGTGAAGTGATTCTTCTAATTTCCCCTGTGGCTAAAGCCTGAGGTTATTCCTCAGTGCCATAGGGCTCCACTGTTGCCAATGAAATATTACAAAACACATGAATGAGCCACTGCACTGAGCGACACGGTCCTTCACTGAGATGAACATGAGTTGGCATGCACTGTCCTGCTGCCATAAGTGTGTAAAAGTCTGGAGCTGATATAGTCCCCAACAAATGCAAATTACTTCTGTTTGAGTGAAGTTTGCTAAAACTCACTGTATCAAGAAAGAACGGAAGAAACAGTATAATAATTTTCAAATAAATAGATATGAGTCACGCACGCACACAGACACTCACAATATTCGTTCTTAAAATGGAAGCTGTAAAAAAAAACAAAAATAACCAAACTCAGAATCACAAGCAACAAATGTGATGCTACATTTAATGTAGGGGGAACTCAGGAGTTCAGCTACACTGTGAGTAAGTTCATGAAAAAACAAAAAAGAAGGAGAAAAGGAGCTTTTAACGCCATTCACTGAATCCTTTATAAATGTCTTGGCAAAAGCAGTGGTTGAGTGTGTTTAAATGCTTAAATGGGAGTTCAGAAAGAAATAAGAGTGCATGCGTTAAAAGGTTCAGAAAACCCTCTATCTAAAGACAAACGGAGTCCATGAAGGATTAGACCTTACTAATTAACTACGGAACAGGTCTATAATTATAAGGCTGTGCACTAAAACCTGTATAAGTATCACATCTTTGTCAAGGTAATTTCAGTAGTGAGACATAGTCTGTGTAAAGACTGCAGGGTTTAAAGCCCTGCATGCTGCTCACCACCTCTGTTGCAGAGGCAATAATCTCTACAGATACTGGTCACAGCCATTTCAAACACCACAGGAAGTGACCTGGAGCACTCCCCCCCAACATGGCAGCTCACCATACACAGAGTGGCAATACAACACCATGTGTTTTTTTCTCTTCATTTCAGTTTTTCGGACCATCTTCCCACAGGGTAGGTGACACTATCTAAGCTTGAATTCTGTTATCACTTTTGCTTTCAATATAATGTTGTGATGCGATCTGGGTAACGATAAAATAAATGCTGGCCTACCTGTAAGCTGCCAAGCTGTATGCTCCTCTTGTCAGCCCTTTCTGTGGAAGAAAAGAAATCAAATATAAAAACAATACAATGGAGATATACATCTTGATTTTCATGTAGCCAAGCTGTAGCCGCAGCTGAATGCACTCATCCATCACCAAGCAGACTGATTGGCTCGTACGACCCATTTTATAACAATTAATGGCACGGTTTGATATACAGTCAATCACATCTTAAGCGCCCCATTGAAAACGCGACTATAGTTTGCCTTATTTGACTGATTTGTTGACTTAAATATGACACACATCCCCAAGCAGATTAAACCACCCACCAGCCCCGAGTCTGTGTACACTGAATTTAACTGGCAGCTGCGAGAACACACATCATGAATATCAATTATTGCTAAAGTGGAGCTGTGAAAATTAGCAGGGAGGTTCTATTGTGTAGGTTAATGGAAACTCAGACAGTCATTTAACTGTAGGGTTAATGCCAGTACTAAGCCACCATGACAACTCTGTCCTTGAGCTTGAATAATAAATTGAAAATGTGTGTGGGCCTATATGATTGGTTTGCAAAATGCATGAAAATTGGGTTTACTAAAATGGAGAAAGCAAACATATAGGGAAGAGAAAACAAATTATTTTTTTCAAAAACATTACATTAATGCCTGAGGAGTGTTGCTTCTAAATTCGGCATCAATCATCCAAGAAAAGATGAATCGAGGGCAACTGCACTTGGTTGTAGATACTTGAAGACGTTTCACCTCTCAACTAAGAGGCCTCTTCAGTTCTGGCATCAATCATTTTAAAAATGCATGTGATATTTAAATCATACCTCAAACATCAATAAATGATTTCAACAAGTATCTTCAGGTAAAGTCCCTCTTCAATGAAAATCGATAAGGTAACAGTCGTTGTAAATATATTTTCAGTAACATCTTGGAGTCATGAATCTGGACTTTATGTGCTATATTAGAGCCTTTATTGTGAAACTGGCTTGTTTTAATGGTATATTTGATATTTTATTAAAAAGCTTCCTTGAGTTTTGATCTGCTCCTGACTATTGCTGTTACTAACTCAATCTCAACACTTTCTCAATCTGTGTCATTTTAAAATCACATCCAGTTGTTCAAAGAGTGCAATCCCTTTATTTTTGTTGATGGCTTTTATTGTAAAACATCTGTAGTAAGTGTTGACTTTCACTAGCAGCTATATTCTTTTTTTGGTCAACAAATCCCATCAAATGACCACAACCACCAATGAAGTGCTGCTGTAAATACTCACTAGAGCATCAGATGTGTAAAAGTCTGGAGCTGAAATAGTCCCCAACAAATTAAAATTATTTCTGTTTGCTACAACTCACCGTATCCAGCTGTTTTAGGAAATTACTGAGCTTTTTAAAGAAATCTTTATAGAATTACGTCTTCAGCAAGAACCAATGAGCTTGGAGCTGAGTGCCGCAGACAGGGTAGGGAGTAGGTACAGTGTTAGGAAACAGATTATCACATTGTTGGTTTTGTTTTTTCCATGGAATTTGCTGACAAGACGAAACTAGAGATCATCTGGCTATGGGATCACACCACGTCATCAACATGTTGACATTCCAACCCATGATTACTCAGTAGTCATTCCTACATTATTATATGAGCACTCAGTAGTCATGGGTTGGAACAAACACATCCTGGAACTCACTACACCTACTCAACTACACACTAGTAAAGTGTCCTTACTGCATCTTGCAACACTAACACGGTGATCTGTCCACACACACACAGACATATAAACACCTGCCAAAGTCCTTAAAACCACCTCTGTGGTAGTTCCTGCTACAGTAGGTGTTCCCAGGATTACATTTTGCCATGTTGACACACACAAACACAGACTCTCAAGGTGAAGACAATAGCAGTGAAACAGAGTTTCGGCTGGGAACTATAGAATAACACCAGCTTTACAATTTGAAAGAGAAACTTTTTATCTATCTTCTGTCCCCCCAGCAATCATTTGAGACCTGGTTATTACAGCAGCTTTCATTTTCAGCGTTTACAGTTACCCGGCAAAGCAAGACTTTGAGAGTTTTAGGAGGTGGAAGGTAATCACATCACCCAAGCCCAGTGAGGTAAAGAAATTAGCTCTGTGGACACAGTTTGCTGACTGTTCTGGCTTCAAACTAGCAGCTCAGTCAATTGTAGTTAGATGTTTTTTTTGACTAGACTCTAAAAGGTTTTCTGGCTTGGAGTTCATACAAATATAAACTGGTAAAAGAAATCATCAAGAGTGATGCTTACAGTCAAATAACCAAGCTTAAAATTGTAACTGGTAATCCACATTCCACACCAATCCAGGATTGACTCAATTTTCATAATGCATTTCAAGGTTGCATTAATTCATACTGCATTAAATAATTAACTTGTGCTGCATTTTCTTCAGAAAACAATGCCTCACACTCTAGGCCTAATTTCAGACAGCAGAGCCATTATCGTTATCACCACCATCTCATGAGTGCACTAATCCTAATTAACAGTTGGAGGTGGGGCTAATCAGCCAGTCCAGTTATCTTAATTTACCTTTTCCACTTCAGAGAAAATGGAGAGGGAATGAATGTAACTGAGTCAACCACAACTGTAATCACAATGTCTTGTTCAGAGAAATGGGATAATAATCTCTGATACAGCATGTTTCCAGGTGCACAAAGAGCACAATAAATGATTTAAATATGAACTGTATGAACATAAAGGAGAAAACAAACTGAGTAATAATGGCAAAAGTGAACCCAGGTGACTATTTCAGAAGAGGGGAGATTCTGAGGCAGCCTCAGACTTGATAAAATAATTCAGAAACCTTTGTTTATTTGCATTTGTTCATATAGTCAGCTTTAAACCCAAACTCTGCCATCAAGGAGCTTGCAGAGGACAAACACTGATCATACTATTTTCTAGCTACACCTCTGCATACCCTGCTGCACTGAGCCTGTGTGTAAGCAGCTCACTTCCTCAAGGTGTTAACATAGCTTGGTTGTATTGGATTTCACCCTCAGGTCTGACATGAGAAAAATGAAAACATGCAGAAATCAATGCATCAGCACCAAATTAAGTGCCTCGCTTTGTACATAATTCCTTTTTCTTTATCCATTTCTTTTCCCCGTGTTTTCAATTCTTAACACTGGCTGTTTTAATGGAAAGAGGAGTGAACATCGGAGCAGTGAGACATTTGTTTTAATAAATGAATTTGGAACTCAATCAAGGAGGATGTATTAGGACTCACACTGAGGGAAATGCGTGCTGTCTGCTTGGAAGAGTTTCAGGCATCTCAGAGTAGAATGACATCTAAGTCTTTTTACTCGTACAACACAGTGACTGATGCAGCAAGTAATTACTCTTAGAAGTGCAGCAGTCTGAGGAATGAATAGGGATAAAGCATTGCTCAGTCTGTTGTACACTTTCTACAATCTGTCAGCGTTTGGGATGTGGGGTGGTTGGAGTAATGTTTGAGATCCCACTTATTATCTTTAGTGTCATTCACTGAAAGATCTGGTGTCATATATTGAGAAAAACACTGCAAAAGTCAAAACCCTCTGCTTCTCTTGTACAATATACTACTACAGAAATAAATCTCTTGCCAACTCTGACTGCACAGCAGGGTCAATACAGTATGTTGTTTATAAGTTATGACACACAAGACACAAACAACTACTGTAAACTTCTCCACAACAATACCACCTACACTAAAGCACAAATCACACAGTCCAGCTTAGCAGAAAGCCGCTCTCATCCCTCTCGCACAGAAACATCTCCAGGGATGGAAGCAGGACGGAGGATGGGGATCAGGAGAGCATCCCAAAAACCCCATCTACTGCCAAATTACACGGTAAACACAACACAGTATGTGTGCAACTGTCTCTTTGACACAGGTAAAGCATAAGCTTTTGATCTGACACTGCTGAGAACAAAATGAAAACAATACACAGAGTTCAAAACATGCAATGTGTCAATAAATACTGGATTACTGAATGTGTGCTGCAGTTAAGACACTTTAATTGCTTCATTAGAATTTAAAAAAAGACCATTAAATAATGTATTTAATTCATTTTTGATGCTATACCTTGTCTAACGTCCCCTGAGGATTGACAAAATGTAACAATAAGGGAAATAAAAACATGTTGAAGTGGTGGCTGGCAAGGGCAGATGTCCCTGAGGGCCGCAGGCATGGAAAACATTTGGAGGATGAGAGGGAGAAACAATGAGTAGCCAGGAGGTAGAAAATGAAAACATGGAACATGGTGAAGTAAACAAAGCCTTCACAATCAAGTGTTCGTATTCGCTGAATACAGAACCTGAGGGATATGCTTTGTGGAGCAATGATTCAAAGAAAGTGACTGTAGGACATTTTATGGAGATCTGATACTGCTGCTCTGTTTAGGTATTGAGGGAGAAGGGTTATATTAGTTTGTATTTTTGTTTTCTTTTTTCATTAAGTTTGAGTTTTCTGGTTACGGCATCATTTTAATCACCAAATTAACTTAACCAAAATAACAAAATCTGAGTTCAGAGGTGCAAGTAGCACGAGCAGTCAGGTGATTAAACTGCTGTTTAGCAGTTAGATTTGAGAGTAAAAGCTTCTCACAAAACTAAAAGAATAAAAGAATACTGAGACTGAGTTTTCAAGAAGAACAACCACATCAGTTGTTCCAGCACAAGCCCCAAAAATGACTACAAACTGATAATCAATGTTGTTTTCTTGAACCATGACCATGGTCATTCCATGCCAAGTGCTTATTGTTGTTAATTATTGCCACCATGACTACAAAGATCCCCTAACCTATACAAGGTAGTAATTTTAACCCAAACCAGAACCTCCCCCTGAACCTAACCGTGTTAACGTTCTCCCTAAGCCTAACCTAACCTTAACTATAGCATTTTCCCATCATTAAACTGACTCATTATTCAGCAAGACAGTTTCAGAAGGCCAGGTAAATGATATGGTCCTGCTGATAAGGTGTCAGATCTAGAGGACAAAGGACTTATTGAGAATATTGATCCAAACTATGAAAGTTTTAC